AAAGCATAAGGACATTGGAAGAAGAGGTGAACCAATCTCTCCCCACTAGCTTGACAAAACACACGGATGAAAATGGCAGACAACTTCTTTTGTAGAACATTATCGGTGTTCAACTTCCCTTTCATGATAATCCAGATGAAAAAGCTAACATTACATAAAATCATCACATTACGTAACTATACTTCCTTTGTGATTAACTCTAATTGGGACGATTTATTGTAAGCTTCAATTGGAAGTACTAAGATTTTGCATATAGTTTATCACTACATGAATGAAAAGCTTTCAAAGAAAAGAAAAGAAAAGAAAGTTATTGCTTTACTTCTGGCTTTTCAGCTCTTGAAATTTATTTGAATTTACTATCTGCTTCATTTGGCAAATTTGTCTAAACCTATTATCCTGAAACATTTTCTGACTTTTACTTGCAGCTTGATGTTGTGCGGGAATTATTAGTTGGAAGTTTGCATCCTGAGGAGCGCCTGGAGTCATTAATATATTCTGCTATCTACCTGAAGGTTTTCTTCAACATTTTATTTTATTGATCTTTTGTTGCCCCCTGTACTCCTATATTCTCAAGATCCTTCTTGTGCAGTGGATAAATACAGGTCAAATCCCTTGTTTTGAAGATGGAGGTCATCACAGGCCAAATAGGCATGCTGAAATTTCTAGGATTATATTTCGTGAATTAGAACGATTGTCCTCCAAGAAAGATATTTCACCCCAGGTAGTCTACTTCTACTACTCACTATATTTTAACCTCTATTTTCTCTGTCATAGTTGGTTCTGACTTTGGAATAACATAGTACAGATCAGCTTATTTTTTCATCATACTTGTTTTGGAAAAATAGAAGACACAGTTAAAAAAAGCTGAAAATGGAAGAAATAGAGGTAGCAACCGTTTAAGGTAAAAGGCTGAGATAAGGAAGTCTTTATACTGATAAGTGCAGGCACGTGGCACTGCTGTATTGGTACAAGAGAAAAACAAAATAACCAACGTATTAATCTATAAAGCAATAAAACAATGACCTAACCTATTTGAGCTAAAAGGAAAAATAAATACTAATATATGCATAGAACAGATTGAAACCAACATAGGCTAAATTAGTGCATAGATAAGGACCGAGCTTAGCGCGAAGACTCAGTGCAGAGAATTAAGAAAGTAATATAAGCCATGAGATGAACTCTTCTGTTTATTAATCCCCTTCCAGCCCATAGGGCAAGGAAAAACTGTGAACTTGGTATGTCTGCAGTTGATCCTTAGAAGGTGCTGAATTTGCACTTGGTTGTTGAGATTTTTTTCTCTCTCACAAAATGGTAATCAATCTCAATGTGATTTGTTCTAGCATGTGTCACAAGATATGTCTCAAGGTATGTGGCATTTATATTATCACAAAGTAGTCAGGGAGGATAAGATAGAGGAATACATAATTCTTTTAAAAAACTTCGAATCCAAACTAACTATACTGCAGCATTGGCAAGGCCTTCAATATTCCAATTCAGCATTTGAACGAGAAACAACTTGTTCTGTAGAACTCCAAGGGGAGGAAGTATGTTTTTAGTGTGTGGGCTTAGAGATGGGAGAGAGATCCGAACTTTCCCCTTGAGCTTATTCTTCTTGATTACCATGAATCTAAAGTGAGTTCTATCAAAAGTAGTACTAGAATAGTACAGTTCTAGAGAATGGGAGCAAAAAAAAAAAAAAAGAGACCTACTAAATTCCATGGAGATCAAGATTGTAGGAGTTCAAAGTGCTGTTGCGAAGGAGCTTGTCTAAACTAAGGGTGTAAGAAGCTTGGTTTGCTTTGAGTTGGTTTTGGGTCAAAACCAATGCTGAATTGATATATTGATGTAAGAAAAATAAGAAACTTGCGTTGTACTGCACTCCAATCCAGTTACAAACTCATCACTTTTACCTTTTTATGTACTTAGTTCATGTATGCTTCAATTACTGACTAATATGCTTTTTGACTTTGCTTCTCTGGCTGAAAGCTGTTTTATTTTCCTTTTACATTCAGGAAATCCTCATTGTCCGGAAGATTCATCCATGCTTGCCATCTTTTAAATCAGAATTTACTGCACCTGTTCCTTTAACACGTATTAGAGATATTGCTCATCGGAATGATATCCCTCATGACCTCAAGGTAACATCTTGAAGACCTGTCACTATCAGATAGAATTTTTTCACTAGAAGTCACTATTGGTTCATTGGAGAGTACAATTTATATGTTTTTGATTGAAGTTCCACATTTCAGCAAGAAATTAAACATACAATACAGAACAAGCTTCATCGCAATGCTGGTCCAGAGGACTTAATTGCCACCGAATCAATGCTTACAAGGATAACCAAAAATCCTGGAGAATATAGTCAAGCCTTTGTAGAGCAGTTCAAAATATTCTACCGAGAATTAAAAGATTTCTTCAATGCTGGAAGGTTAGATTACGAAAAAATTCAACACTTCTTCGTTCCATCTTTCCTACATTTTTATGCTTGATGTGCTACATGTACTGTAATATATATGTAATGAATCAAATGGCATATTGCTTGACATGTAACCAACATGGATTAGCTAGATTTCATTTGACCCGTGTTCTAATGCAACAACCTTCTATAGAGGCAAGAAATCTTGAGAACAGCAACGGATCTGAGCTTGGTAGTCTACTCCTTAATTTCAAAGAATTATTGGCCCAAGCTCTTCTAGATCATACACTATGAATACTTTACTTTGGGTAATGTCGTTCAATTGACATCTCAAGTACATAAAGACAAGTAATATATGTTGGAACTGCAAATTATTTTTTTAAGCATACAAGTGAATGTACATAATTGATTTCAATTTTTTAACAATATGTTGAATCATTTAGAAGAATCTTTATTTCATTTTGTTCGAATCTCTTACTTCAAGGCATTGCATTACTCGAAACATATTATTAATTTCTACAATTCTTGAAATGTTGCATATTGTTAGGAACACCTTTAGGGTAGATGAAGAAGTATTATTAGGATATTAAAGGGTATGTTGGTTGACTTTGTCGTTATAAATAAGGTGGGTGGGGAGGGGCCGAGGGGGTGAAGGCAAGAAACGGTTTCATTGTTTAGGCCTGAGTCTTACTCTAGAGGGAGTTCTTCGAGTTCTTTGAATTACCCGGGAAATTTTACTGCTGGATAAGATGCCTGATTCACATTTGGATTTCTGCCTCCCAATCCTGTCTTCTATTCTTGATGGTGTAACTTCTTCATTTGCCTTGAGTGTCAAATCAAGTGTTCTCATCACCTCAATCTAATGTTCCCATCATTATAAAGCTCTATATCATCCTATCAAACATGGATTGGATCCTTGAGCATACATGCTTAGTTCGATCAATATCTTGACACAAATCCTTTCCAAATTGTTTAACTTCTTTTCCACTACATCCATTTGAGCTTTTAGATTTCTGTCATCTATTTCTTAAATTAATGTACTTATACCAATTTGATGGAAACTAGAGAATTGAAGTAGAGATAGTATAAAATACTTGAAGAAAATACAATAAAATATCCAAAGTCATTCAAGGAACTTGGAGACCATTTTGAGTAAAACTCAAGCCTAAACAACTTAACCTTCATCCCTTTTCACTCACTCTATTTGTAACTACCTCTATAACAAACTTCTTGACCCATGCCTAACATACCTACCATAAGAATATTTCTATATCTACTTGTTCAATTAGTTAGAAGTTTAGATTGTGTGGACTTAGTTAGTAGTTGTTTTAAAAGTTGTTTAGGTTTGTTTAAATTTAGCAAATAAATTTTCTTTTTTGTTAGGAAAGTTAGGAGGTTATTCCTAGATTTTGTTTCCTTTTGTAACCTATATATATAGTGCCTCAATCTGATCCAGTTATTGATACTTTAACCTATGTCTTTATCATTTATCTGATTAAGTTTGTTGAAATCCGGTAAAATGAGTCAATTTATTGAGCAAACCCAATATAAAAGTTATTTCTACAAATGAGAATTTTGTGCTATTTCCAGCCTTGCCGAACAACTTGAATCAATCAAGGAGGCTGTTGATGAAAATGGCTTGTCAACTCTTTCCTACTTTTTGGAGTGCAAAAAGGTGATATTTTATCATGTTATTGTTTGTCTATATAAATTTAATGGCAAAAGTGATAAACTAAACTACGATAAGCTGATGGGTTGGGTGGTGGTTTGTTCATCCTTAACATAGTATCAGAGTGGGAGGTTCTGTGTTCGACCTCATGCATTGTTGTTTCCTCCCTATTTACAATGATTTACACTTGTTGGACCTTGTGCAATTATCCAAGCTCATAAGTGAGGGGGGATATCTAATATATGAATTAAATTTATCCAACCCATCAGCTTAAGTTTTGAGTTGAGTGGTGGTTTATTCATGCTTAACAACTCTTATCTTTTGATCTCTTGTTTAAGATATTATCTTTTGCAACATTTTATTCTTAGAAGTTATATGCATATGAGCTTTCAATTCTCGAATTGATAATTCCATATCTGAAGAAATAAATATTTTTATTATTGACTTCTATTTTTGTACTTAGGAAATTTGTGAAAAAATTCAGGTTGCTGAATAGATCTTGGTAGCTGAGGATTTTTATGGGAGAAAAGCATCATGTTTCTTCTGTAATTCTCAAAAAAAGTTTGGTTTCTGCTGACACATGATTAGTAATATGTTAATCTGGGTAGCACATGGATGTACTTCTCTTCACTTAGCCATATTGGACTAACTGTGAACTCATGCTTAAAAGATTTGCCACCTTTTTTTTAGTTTTTCCTTTTTAACGCGAAACAAACTTTTCATTAAATATATGAAAAGGAAGAAAATGGTTCAAGGATACAAACCTCCAAAAGGAAGGAAAGAGAAAAGAAAAAGTAACCAAGTAACAGAGATCCAAGGACCAAAACCAAAGACAGAAGCTAGAGGAAGAACAAAAAAAATACGAACTTCTCATTTATTAATGAAAAGGAACAAAAATTGTTCAAAGGTTACAACCTCTCTCAAGGAGAGAGAGAGAAAAAACGAAAGAGAAGAAAAGAGAAAGCAAGAACCAAAGATGTAAATACAACCCCAAAGAATAAGAAAGATAAAAGACAAAAAATACAGAACGGTCAATCAAGCAAAAATACTTCTGCCCACGACCCTTTCAATGAGAGATAAAAGCCATAATGAAATAAAAACTGCTGTTTTTCCAGGAACCATTAGAACTCTTCATTTTCCAGTCATTGATTACTTTTTCCACAAACTTCCAAATTGAAAATGAAACTCCTCACCATCCCAACATTCCCCGCTGCAAAAGAAGCCCTTTCAGCTTCAAAAGACAACTTCATTTGCTGGACCTCATAGGAATTCCAATCGACCCCTGCTGAAATTAATTGAAGAAGACCTTTCAACATCAAAAGGCCCCTGCTGCCTTTTATTCTTTTGAAAAGAACTCCTTGAAAAACCAACTTCCAACCTTTAGGCTGCCTGCTTGAAGTATAAAAAGACACTGGGAAGAACTAAGGCTCAAATAAAAACAAATCATTATAGCAATGGGACCCCGCAACAATTATGAGGAAAGGTGAAAAGACTGTCAAATGGAGATAGAAACCCTTCGAAACCTCTTGCCTTAATAAAAACATGCAGAAAGGATAAGGCAAAAACCCTACAAACACCTCTTTCCTTAAGAAAAACCTTCAGCATCTTGGACTAAGATAGATTCTGTTAGGTCCCAATTGTGAAGACTTATAGTAGGAAGGGTAAATAGGTAATTGGAGGGTTGTTGGGCCATAACGGCCAAGAAAGAGAAGGTACTAGCTACGAGTAGGGGGGAGTGGGTAGGCCTATAAGGGAGGGAATAATCAACAACACCACCTCCCAAAAAACTCTGAAAACCAATTGTAGCCACAAAGAAGAGATAAAAGGACAAATAAATTCTGCTATTTTCCAAAAACCATTAAAGACTTTCCTTGAAAGCCAAGATAACTCCTCAAAATCCAGCCATTTCACCAGATCGCTCCATAACTGCTTGTAATGTCTTTGTAAAGTTTGCCAAAGTAAGTTGCTCCAATATGGTTTCAACATTCTCTGCAGCAATATTGAAATAACATTCAAAAGTAGCAGTTTACTCTATTTTTCATGCTTAATTTTAATAAATTTGGTAGGACTTCCAGGCCTCCATTTCTTGCTTTCTCCTTTTTTCCTAATGTAGTTGAATAATATTATGGTTTCTTTCCCACCACGATTTTTTTTTTTAATGTTTGGTAAAGAATGTTCAGATAACTAGGTTGAGTATGAAGAGATGGTATTTTATTTCCAGAATCTGGATGCTGCAGACGAGTTGGGAAGTTCTTTCCAAAAGCAAGGCACTGATCTGGTTTTCAAAACTATTCAATCCTTGAATGCTTTGAGAGAAATACTTGTAAGAGGCCTTGAAAGTGGATTAAGAAATGATGCTTCTGATACTGCAATAGCCATGCGACAAAAGGTGAGCTGATTGCTAAGTATTTATTTATATAATCAATCAAGTCAGAATTCTTTACAGACCTTATTTTCTGCTTTTTTATGCAAGTACAGTGGCGTCTTTGTGAGATTGGGCTCGAGGACTACTTATTTGTTCTTCTTAGCAGGTACATGTTTTTTTGGAATCCTAGAGACTTCGTTTCTTGTCTATTATAGAGGGCCTGGAGGCCTACAGTACATGGTGATTAGAATTGTTTGTACAGCATCATTTTTAGATAAATTTCTAGGAAGGATGTGACAGTTGTGAGCCTGTTTAGTAAACGAGCTATACTCGGTGGACCAACCTTAGAGTTAAGGTTGGCCATGTTTGTAGGAGGCAGTAGACTCCTACAAGCGAACACTTTTCATTCTTTTTAAGCACATGTATCTTTTGGATCTTTCTTCCTGTTTAGTTTATGCTTAGAACTCAACCTGTAGAATAGATCCTGTTCAAGTAAGGTTATTCCTGTTTAAGTTATCCTGATTTCTTATAAGTTTATAACACGTGGAAGCATTTTAGGGAAACATTTTGGGGTTAGCTCTAGGAGTTGTGAGGTGAAAAAGATCTTAAATTCTATTTTTCTAGCGAACTGAACATGTCCTCACATTTGATTGAATCACTCTAGATTCTTGAGTTTGTTATGTGTTGTTCTTTGCTGGTTTCTTATTGTGCTCGTCAATTTAGGATTGTGTTGGATCCGTTATGGAATCATCTCCACATATGACATATCTTTTGAATTTTTCTTAATCTGATACTTCTTTTAGTATACATTTAATATGACAGTAAAAGTTCTACTCACAATGCTGGACTGAATTGTATTAAGCTTCATATTAACATCTCCCAGAAAGATGCTTTTATTTTTACCCAGATTATTTGATTCATTTTCAGTCACCCATTTCACAATTTTCTGCTTCTGTTTGTTCGATACTTGTTTTATGCTACCTAAATAGATATTGAAAAGGTCAAACGTGAACACATTTTCTAATGTAGATCTATTTCTGAAATATAAAAACCTCTATTCTCACCAAGAGCCTTAAAATAAAAAAGAAACAGGGCCACAAAGGAGCCGGCGTGCCATATAAAGTGAAACAACGAAACAAAAGAACATGAAACCTAAATTTAGGAGTACCTTGATAGGAATGGCCCTTAGGGTAATTAGGGATATTATTAGGGTACTGAGGGTACCTTAGTAATTAGATAGGGAAGTTGTTAGGGAAAGTTGTTATAAATAGAGTGAGGGTGTAAAAATGAAGGTAGGCAATTGGTTAGTATGTTTTAGGCAAAGTTGATTGGTCATATTTGGAGGCAGTCATGGAACAAAAAGGCTTCGGCCGTAGATGGAAAAGATGGATCATGGGATGCTTGTCTTCTGCAAACTTTTCCGTTTTTATAAATGGCAGACCCCAAGGGAAAATTCTTGCAAAACGAGGCTTGAGACAAGGGGATCCACTTTCCCCTTTTCTCTTCACTTTAGTAGGAGATTCTGATTGGTTCATTTTTGTAGTCAAAGAAGGCTGATTAGAGGCTTCGGAATTGGTAGACAGATGGTGGAGGTCCCTCATTTGCAGTACGCGGATGACACTATGATTTTCTGTCCAAATGAGACAGGTATGTTGGAAAATTGGTGGATGATTTTAGACATCTTGCTACAAGCCTCCGGGCTGTCTTTGAATTTAAAGAAAACGGCCATCATCGGAATCCATGTAGAAGAAGACTTGCTTTAGGCCACTGTTAGAAAGTTGGGATGCAAAGTGGAAAGGCTTCCCTTTCCCTTCTTAGGAATTCCTTTGGGGGGCAATTATAAGAAGAAAGCTTCTTGGGAACCTCTGTTTGATAGAGTCTGACAAAAGATTGACAAGTGGAAGGACCTTTTATCTCTCAAAGGGTGGTCGGCTTACACTCGCACAATTTGTGATTACCAATCTTCCTCTCTACTTCTTCTCGGTCATAAATGCTCCAACAAGAGTTATTAATGAAATCGAGCAGTTGACACAGATTTTTTTTGGAATGGGGGAAGTATAAAAAGCCTTTGCTTGGTGAATTGGGGGAAGACCGCACTTCCTTTGCAATATGGAGGTCTCGGAATAAGGACTTTACATCAAAAGAATAATAGTTTACTGCTTAAATGGCTTTGGAGATTTACCTAAGAAACCAATGCTTTGTGGCGGAAGGTGATTATAAGTATCTATGGTAAAGACTCCCATGGGTGGTGTACACTTCCACCTATAGGGCGTGCGAGGGAAGACTGTGGTTTGATATTTTTAAAAATAGCACATTCTTTTCCAAGTTCCTAGAGTTCAAGGTGAGAAGGGGAAGTAGAGTTAAATTTTGGTCGGACAAGTGGATTGGGAATGATTCTCTCCAAAATTTGTTCCCTGCCATATTCAACCTTTCTACAAAAAAGGATGCTATGGTAGTTGATTTTTGGAACATGCATGAAAATGACTGGGATCTAGGCCTGCGTAGAGGCTTTTCGATTGGGAGGTTGAGAGCTGGATGGGGCTTATCCAAGTTATAGATTGGTGCGGCTGGGGGAGGGTGAGGATCGAGTAGGCTGGTCTCTAGACAAAATGGTTGGTTCTTTACCCGTTCGGCCTGTTTGAAATTGGTGGAATGTAGGCCCTCTTTGAGGTCCTCTCTCATTTTGGCAGTGTGGAAATTTAAGGCTCCAAAGAAGGTCAAAATCTTTTTATGGTCCCTTGCCCATGGAAGCTTAAAAACCCATGATAAACTCCAAAGGAAGTGTAAAAACGATGCTGTCCCGTCCCCCTAGGTCTGCACTTTTTGTATGAAGCACAGTGAGAACATGGATCACATATTCTTGCACTGCCATTTTGCGACTCAGAGTTGGTACTTCCTCCTAAATATTTTTGAGATCGCCACTTGCTTCCCAAGACAGATAGAAGATTGGATGGCTCAAGTTCTTCATGGGTGGACTCCCCCTAAGACAACTAGGTTTATTTGGTGTTGCGCCTCAGGAGCCCTCCTTTAGCATCTTTGGCTTGAAAGAAAATCTCGTGTTTTTGAAGATAAGTCCACTACTTTTTATCTTTTTTTAAGGAATGTACAGCACACTGCCTCATGGTGGTGCATCAATTATAGTAAATTCTTTTGTAATTACAACCTATCCATGTTCATGCACAGTTGGATAGTGGTTGTTTAGCTTTTTAGGTGGGGTTTCCTCTACCCCAGCCTTTAGGCTGTTTCCTCCTTTTTGATATATACAAAGTATGTTTCTTATCCAAAAAAAGAATACTCAAGAGAGGAGAGGGTCCAAGTACCTCGAATAACTTGGGAGATATTGTAGTTATTCTATCTTTTTATATTTCAATATATTTCTAGTTTGAGTTCTATCATACCTCTTATGGCACCGCAATATATGGATCTGAGACTTTGGAGTGGTTTACTGGCTCAAGCTTTACTATAATATAGGATGCCCTTGGTTTTCTATTTGGAGAACCCGTGGCTCAACAACTAGAGTTTTAAATTCCATCATCCTAGACAAAATGCTGTTAGTAAAAATAATTTTGCAACTATTTTGGAAATTTGGGGTAATGAGTTGAGGTGGAATTTGAATAGAAAATCTTTTTAGAACTTTGCTCCTATGATAGCGAGGACAAAAGAGTGGACAAATTGGAGAATTTTGGAGTCTTTTTTGTTATAGCATGCATCTTGATCAAAGTTTGAAATGTGAATGTCAAAGAAAACGTCGAGATCTCGATTTTATAGAAATGTTGATGAAAATATTGACATCGACAAAAATTTTAGGAAAATTTTTGGGAATCATGAGAATGATTTGAATTAGTTAATGAAACTTTAATTATGTCTTAATTAGGCTATAATTAACTCTTTTAATCATCACATCTATAAATAAAAGTAATATTTTTGTTGAGATGTCAACATCCATGAAAAATTTAGACAAAATGGAGTGTAAGTTTTGATGAAAATGGTTCGAATTAGTTAATAGGAATTTTATCGTGACTTAATTAATTAGGCTATAATTGGTCCCTTATAATTGCCATATCTAAATAGGTTTGAAATATTGAACGCTTTCAGGGAAGAAAAGAAACCAATGTGAAAAGAGTTAAGGCTCCTAGCACTCTCTCCCTTGGTTCAATAAACTCCACTAATGAAGTTTGACTCATAGGACTTCTTCTCTTGAATTTTCGGATAATGAATTTGAAGACGATGATGGGGTGGTTAGGATTAGTAGCTTGGATTCTTCCCCAAAGTCTGAGCTTCCTATCAAAGATTATGGTGAGCAATCCTTTGAGGAAGATTTTCAGATCCTTTTTAATGAGCAAAAAGAAATTGAGAAGCCAGAATCTTCAAAGCAAATATTCATTCCTTTTTTGTTCGAAGAAATGGGGATTTCTCTTGTTTCGATTGATAGGGCCCTATGATTCTCAATTTGTTGGTGAAAGATGTTTGATTCCAAGAAAGGATTTTCTGTTTTGTTCTTGTGAGCTTGGTGGGTTTGTGCTTTGGTGTTTAGAGTTTTGGAAACTGAAAAGTCAGGGCAGTTTATTAAATGTGTGTTCTTTTATTTTCAAGTTAACCTTTTCGGTTCTCAAGGCAGTTTGCTTTAGCATATATCTTCGTGTGAAGCTTGGACATTCTTATTGGTTCCTCAGCTTTAACTCTCAAGGCTGTTTATTATTATTGGCTGGTATTTCAAGGAGTCTATGTGCAAGGAAGAAAAGTAGCAGACTTTATTTATTTATTTTCATTGATAATATGAAAAGGAAGAAAAAAGTTCTAAGGATACAAGCTCCCAGAGGAAGTGAAAAAAAAGTAGCAGACTTTATCATGGGTCTCTTTTTGAAGAAGGAGATTTTATTGGCTAGGT